TGTGTGTGTGTGTATGTATGTGTGTGACAAAGAGACAGACATATGAAAAGAGTACATGTTTTGGTGGGAATTCCTCCTGCATATTAATCTGTAGTATCTTTGTGTAAATGTAGTTAGTAAAATACTTTAGAGTTATTGCTATAATCATGATACATGCCTGTACTCTACACCCCGCCCCCGCTTCCAACCTCTAGACATCCTTACACTAACGCTACCCCCTGAACCACCTCCCACAGGTCCCGGAGTCGAGCCTCCATCGGCACCACGACGACTTCCACAGCACCAGCTCGGCCGACACCGGCGGCACGGGGGACAGCGGACACGGCAGTGACGAGGACCTCTCCAACAGCCTCGAACACGCCACCACCCACAACACACTCCCCGTGGTTCAGGAGCACCCCTCCGCCACCCCGTCCCCACACCCTTCCTCCTCCTCTTCCCCCCACCCTACCTCCCCATTGGATGATAGTTTGTCCTCGGCCGGACGAGTCCATTTTCCACTAGGGGATGCACTGAACAAACCACACCATCATCAACATCGCGTTCAGAAACCGTCAGCGTTGAAAAATGCTCCGCCACCCCCGAGGGTTAAGGCCAATTCTGTACGCTTTGATCCTCATGTTACGGATATTTACGCCAAGCATGCGTCACAGAGGAGCCTACAGAACCACCCTGCGACGTGCTTGCAGCAGCAGCAGCAGCAGCAGCAGCAACAACAACAGCAACAGCAACAGCACAACTACCCCAGCAGCGCCACTCTCGGCGGCAGTATGGGAAAGGCCGGCGTCCCTTCAAGGCTTCAGAAACAATCGTCAAAACCAAAACACGCCCACAATAACAACAATTCGCCATATCAGTTTCTTGATTCTTCGAAAGCAATTTCTCCAGATTTCTCCTCCTCACACGAATTCCGGCACTCTGTAGGTGTGAAGAATCCAGCTTTGGCGCTTTCTCAGTTCCCATCCTCCTCTTCCCAAAGACACCTCTCCTCTTTCTCTCACTCCTCCCTGGGAGATGAGAATAATGAAGACAGTGACCTCAACACGACCACTTCGGGTAGCTACAGCGTGGCGTCGGATGATGTGGCGAGGTTACAGAGTCTGGGTGACGTCAGAGATTTGTACGTGTGAAGATCACGTGACAGTAACGGAGAACAATATCAATCCTGGTCATGTGTTCTGACGTGGCGAGGTTACAGAGTCAGGGTGACTTCATGTTGGATTTCTGTGTCTCAAGGTCACATGAATAAAAATGTGTCAATAGAGTTTGATATTCAACCTAAGTGAAAGTGATTAATTCTTTCTATGCCGTGAACAACAACGTATGGTCAAAAAGTGTACTAGAAATGCACTAATCGTTTCGCCAAATAGGTCGGGAAGAGTGATGGGACCTTTTTTTGTGCTGACAAAGTGAAATATCAGCGCATTGATTGGTCTTCTTTTCTTAATTTCATCTTCTCGTTCATCTCTAAATGGACGTCCAAGTCTCAAGTGCAAAGGCTGCTGTTCGCCGTTGACCCTCTAAGCTCCAACAGAGTTTAGAGTTTTTCCTCTCTCATCCTGCGATTGGCGATTGGAGAGTTAACTCACATTCTGCCAACCACTATGTCGAGACAAGAATGGCCATTATTACGTCATGAGACAGCCGGTCTGATTATGCTCCCTGAAATACATATGCTGTCGGGCACAGATAACTCGTTCGGGTATTGACAAATGTTTTCGACACATCTATAATTTTGGTTAACCGATAACAACAAATTAAAGAGATATCAGTCGGAGAATGGCAAATTGTGCGAGCTATCCATGATTTCGAGATATCCATGTTCGCGTTATCTGTGCCCTACTGAGTGCGGGGGTCCCCGCGTGACACTGCAAACCGAAGAGTCGTCTGTGTTGTTATGGTTAGGCATTTTGCTGTCACACGCAGAAGACGTGAGTTCGATTCCAGAATGAGGGACTTTTCTGTAATCGAGTATCTCCTCCTGTTTGACGTAATGTGTCCCACACAGCCTGGGTTGACCTTGACAAGCTTTGTGATGCAGCCCGTCTCCAGATGGTGTGAGTTGGATAAACCAAGCCAGCAGATAGACAGAGGTACTCGATAAAATAGATTTCTCTCTCATGAATCGAACCCCAAGCCTTCTGTGGGCTGCAGCAAAGGCCATAACCTGTACATTACAGATTGTCTCCTTTCTCCTGGATATCTATATCTAGGAGTGATATTATCATTTTGTTGATGCGTCAGTAAACCACAGTGGTAAAAGAATAGTAGTCACAAAAAACAACAAAACAAAATCAAACAAAAAATAGTTAAGGACTACTTCTTTTCTTTCACGTGTCCATGGGGATTATTATCTTTCTTTCTCTGCCCGACTGTTTTAAACGTGTCACCAGTAAGCGGATATTTGACTGCTCCCCTTTTCATATAAGCGTTGTTTGGATGGACAGTTGGGTTTTTCTTTCATGCCTAAAACGACTAATGAAGACATTCAAGGAAAATTGTGACTTATATCCTTTTTGCCCTGTCTTCTTTGCTGACGTTGTTTTGTTTTGTTTTGGAATTGCATGTGCGTGTGTCTGTGCTCTTTAATGTTAAATGGAGACAATAATTGGTAAGAATTTGCTTATGTGTTGAATAGAATGTATTAAGACTTTTCTGCAGCAATATGTTGTAAATAACTTTTGTAACACTATTGATGGTTGTTATGCAATTAAAGTAATGTATGTCTATGAGATTGAGGGAAAGAGAGAAAAGAGAGTAGTTTAGCCTTTGAACAAATACCATTGTGTCTGTTGGGCGTGCGTCTACATTTATGTGTGTGTGTGGGTGGGGGTGTTTGTGTGTATGTGTGTGTG